TCCAGCCCATCAAGCTGTGGGACCTGTCTGTGTTTACAGTATAACTCCTGACTGCTTAGAAAATAATGTATTGAAAGAAAATCGTTTTTAAATAATCATGCATATGCACAAGCGTATTATGGTTGTTTCTGGCTAGCCTGCATGGAACAGCTACAGTATTTTAAACCTGAAAATGAAGCTTACATCTCGGTTTTCACAACAGTCAAATGAACACATAGTCTGACACAGAAATTGGTTGGGCAGTTGGCCGGTAATTTAGTTCTTATAGATGATGAGATCTAATTTTAGAGCTAAATTGTATTTCTCTTCTCAATTCATGCACTGATTTATATATCCTTTTGTAGAATGAGTTTGATGGCTTTATTTAAAGGTGAGAAGCAACACTACAGCACAGTGTCTATATTTGGTTTAAGTATTTTCAGTGGGTCATTTTGACATGGCAGGAGATGAAAGGAGAGAGAGAGGAAGGACGACATGCAACAAAGGTCCTTCGCCGATTCAATTCGGGGATGTTGCAGTTGTTACTTGTTTCTTTTGTGGAAGGGGAAAGAACGATTTGTACTTTCAGTTTCAGCCCTACAGCATCATTAGGTGACTGACAAAATACATTTAGAAAGATAAGCTTGATACATTTTTATTATCATCCTAACACTACACTGAGTTACTGTAAAGAGGCTGTCCATATGCACTAAATCATTTTCTTCTTCAGCTGTGTCCCACACTTATTTTCTTGCTGTGTTACTGTAAGTGGTTTTCTAAAGCCCTGAGTGGCTTTTCTGTCTTATAGCTTGCTTTGGCAGGTGGTTTCTTGTTCTTTTGCCAAGAGAAGTTAAAGAAAAAGTTCATAAAGTTGACCTCCAGTCATGTAGCTTCTCATAATGTTAATTTAACCTTACATGTTTTTCTTTGTCTTTGATTAATTCTCTTTTTAAAAAAGGTTAAGGGAGTTGTAGCATACAGACTTGAAATCATTTTTGACTCAGTCGTTCATCCATCCATCCATCCATCCATCCATTTTCTATACTGCTTAGTCCTAAATGGGGTCATAGGGGGCTGGAGCCAATCCCAGCCGGCTGCGGGCATCAAACCTTCATGCACCTGTTTAATTTAGTAGTTTAGAGTACTACAAATACTTATAGCATATATTCTTTCCCCCCTAAAAGTCCCTGTATGAAGATGTTTTCCTGGACTGAAATATTAACCTTTCTTTGGGTTTATGATTTACTACTGTCTTGAGCAGCAGTTTCAGTTCTTGGTGTTTCTGTTCTGCACACATGCCATTGGTATATGTATTTAATGTTCACAGTGACAACATTAAGGCACTATTTGTCACTGGATGTTTTGAAATAATACAATAATGAAGTCTTTAACATTCAGTCTTCACCTAGTATTGGGACTTTGTCAAATTAACTACATGAATTTAAAGTAAATAAAGAAGATCTGTGATCAATCAGAAAACTTTCAGTCTCACATATGGTAACACAACTATTGAACTGTTTTTAGTGGTGGAAAGTATATAAGTACATTTATTAAGGTGTACTTAAGTACATTTTGAGATTGTTGTGTGTTCAACGAGTATTTCTATTACAATAAATAAATATATATATAATATTATAGATAAGTACCTTAATGTTTAACATAAAGATATTTTGATGCTAATACCTATGCACTTCAATTTTAAATGCAGGAGTATTTGTATACTGTGTATTGTACTTTTAGTTGAGTACAAGCTGTGATCTTCGATCACTGACTGTGTGTGGAGTGGGATTTAAAACCATAAAATTCAGTTCTTGGAGAAAGACTATGGTGGACGTCTAATATTTTGCTAAAGCAAGGGGAGAAATATTTCGTACTGTGTTTCACTGTGTCATTATAGCTGAAAAAAGATGAAGAAAAACATTAATGTAGTACAAGAAATGAGCTAAAAGTCCAGTCACACTCTGACCAGCATCAGATTCACAAAGTTCACATTATTTTGTCCACCCACCTGCATGCAGTTACACTCATCACCCAAAAATATATAGCTTGCTGTAACAATATGTTAATTTTGCTTGTGTATTCATTAGAGTAGGAACCCTACAGCCAGACATTGTTACTGTTAGCTTTAAATTTTCTTCTATATCTATCAAATACCTATTCAAGTTGGTGCCACAGTTTCCTCCAGGCATAAAATACCACTTAATTCAACCGTATCTTTGTGTGTGCTGCTGCTTTGTGAATATTTGTGTTATTTGTTTTCATTTACTGTAGTTTAAAAGGTCAAAACGTTCCAGACTACACCCTTGTGATAGCGCAGTAGGTCATGTTTCACAAAAATAAAAAAGTCTAAACAAGTCCTGCAGCTGTGCCTGATCAGGTCTCTACATGCATCTTTATTTTCCAAAGTATGAGCTGAGTTCAGTAGTTTAAATTAGAGATTAATCATGAACATCTGCTCAGACAGAATGCTGCCCAAAGGGAAAATCATACTTGTAAATATACTGTATGTGTAACATCAGCTGGTGTAGCAAAGAGTAAACAACAATTAAAAGTCACTTCCATCTGTTTTCTGAGGAACGGTTTTGAAAGATACATCAGCGTTTCTTCACTTGATCTCTGTTAGGCTGCAGTATGTCCAGGTTAAGAAGAGACCTCATTATACATCACCTCTGTGTGAAAATGACAGAGTGAAAAAGGGATGGTTTAGAGGAACGACCTCTGTCATGGTCCATGAGTGTGAGAGATGGTAATGACTTCGCCCTCATCTCTTTAGGGACTGAGTGTTTAAACAGGGGTTGGCCGTAAAACAGAGCGTAGGAAGGGGAGATGATAGATGGTATGAGAACAGAGGGAAGGGGCTGATTTACAAAAGGGAGTGGAGGCTGCTCTGACTAACAGGCCGTGAGTGGCTGCTAAGGTAGTAAACAAACCTGTCTGTGGAGGTGCTCAGTAGCTGGCTGCTGTCTCCATGGCAACCAGCCCTTACACTCAGAAGCTTCCCAGCATTTGTGGACACACACACACAAATGCAAGCATGTGCACACACAACTCAAATCTTGCCTTAACGTAAATATACAACACCTAAGTGAATAGTTCCATATTTTGGGAAACAAGCCTTTGGAAGTTGCAGTCAGTGGCTAGTTAGCTTAGCATAGAATAGAATAGAATAGAATAGAATAGAATAGGAAGCCTTTATTGTCATTGAACAAGTACAACAAAATTTGAATTGCTACTTCTAAAATAACCCATGCAATTTTAAAACCTTCAAAGAGATGACCAATATACACAATACACACAACTCATAAACTAATAAATACTTTAAAATAATAAAGAAGTAGTTTTCTGTTAGTTATTGCAGAGAATGAATGTTGAACCTAAAACAATGTGAATTCATTTGACCTTTTTATGAACTGGTAGAGTTTAAAAGTTTGATTGTCCAGGGACAGAAACTGTTCTTAAGTGCATTTGGCTTTTGATGCTTCTGTGCCACCTACCAGAGGGAACATTTTGTGGGAAGGGAAGGGTCTTTTATTATTTTCCTTGCTGTACAGAGACAGTATGAACTCAACCTGTCCTCCAGAGAAGTCAGGAAGAAGCCTCTGATTTTTTCTGCCATTTTTATAACCTTCTGCAGTGTTTTTCTATCTGCAGCTGAGCAGCTTGCATACCACGCCATAATGCAGTAATGCAAGTTGAAATGAGAGGAACAGTTCTGCAGTACTCGGGTCCAACACAAGTCCTGATTTTCACGAGTTGTGCTTCAACTTGGACTTAAACACAAGATTCAGAAGGTGGAGACTTTTTTTTGCAACAGGTCATAATAATTTGGCATTAGATATTGATATTATAACCTGTATGCCCTCACTATGCTGTATCAAGAACCCTTCCTTCAAAGTGTGTTTGGCTACTGTGGCACACAGAGAGTAAGTAAACAGCAAGAGCCATGTCACTTGTGTTTAATGTAGACCTTAATGATGGGGACTCGACTCGGACTGTTCTTTGGTGACTTGGACTTGAACACTGGGAACTCAATACTCGATTAGGACTTGAGGTTTAGTGACTTGACTACAACAATGGGGCAGGGGAAATAGGTTGGCAGGTTGTATATTGCGTTAGCCTTTACCCTCATCTAACCCAATCTTAACCCTGATACACAAAGTGCATGTATGTTGGGTTTGATTGCACATTCTTCACCTTAAAAACTCCACACAAAACTCTCCTCAAGGTCCTTTTAGCAGCTGCTCTGGAGTTTTTGATTATGTCACACACTCTTTAGTCGTTTGATATTTTTTAGAGTTAGATGAAAGATTAATACCACTGTCTGTAAATATGTAACAGGAGCCAGGAGATGGTCAGTGTGGATTAGCGCACATACTGGAAACAGATGGTATCCATCTACCAGCACATCCAAAGCTCACTACTGTATTTCACAAATTATATTTCCTTTGACCGAGCCAGTCTTTATGCTGAGCTGTCTCTAGACATACCTGATGTTTATCAGACACAGGTACTATCAAGCTTCTCATCCAACTCATGGCAAGAAAGTAAACTATCCCTTTAAGGATTTCACGTCCCATTGGATTATGAAAAACAAACTAAAATGTAACAGAATTCTATTTACAGTAAATATATCTATATTTACTGTATGTTAGTTGGGTTCCTGCTACACTCATGACCTCTTGAAACATGTTTAATGCTAGTATATATTTTATATGTCATCTGTTATGACCTCTCTGACTTGTGTTTCCTGTTTGTGACTGTACATATGTGATGAAACTAGTTTCCCATTCTGGTGATCTATATTAAAGGTGCAACAAAATAGTGATCCTTGTCTCTGGAAACCTATCCATTACATTTATTTTCACATACATAACTTACAGACTGTACACTGTGTACTGAACACATAAATAACATATACTGTAACATAAATAGATTTTTGTCAACTGGCAAACAGGCGCACAATAAAAAAAGTATTTTAAATAAATAACAAATAAATAAATAATTTTTGTTGTGGCTTCCAGTGGTAGTTTTGTTGTGTAACTCATTTCTCTTTCTCAGCATCTTATAATTTATGCCACTGTGACCGCCGTTCATGCAGCCTTGCATGTGCAGTATGCTTGTCTGTCAGAGGCAGACGTCGCCCACATCTTAGTCTGTGTCAGTCTCTTCTCACAGCCTCATTCAGCCTTTAGCCTCCAGCTTGGAGTTGAACCTGCATGTGCGGAACCTCTGGTCTCCAGAATAACTCCACATCCCAGCACCAAACTTTCTGGACTAACGTATTTGTTCCATTTGAACCTTTCCCGTCTTTCTACTTATGTCCCTTTGAGGAGTGAGCAAATCACCTCTGGCACTTGCAGGACAGTTAAAAAAGAAAAAAAAGTCTATTAGCCTGTCTTGGTCTTTCTGCTAAGCTCCAGGTAGGCGGAGGATTTGAGGAAGCGAGGGTAGCAGTCCTTCTCCATCAGAGTGTAGATTTTGGCTTGGGCCAGGTTGAAGCAGGACTGGCAGGGGTGTTCCATGTTCTCCTTGGTGACTGCTTTGGTTGCATGGTCCAGATTAACCTGTAGGAGAAGAAGTAGCGAGGTGATTATTAGCATGACAGCATGATAGGATTAAAAAACAGTGACAGAGCATCTGAATATGTTTGTTATTTCATATTTACCTCTCGGGGTGCATCAGAAGCAACAAACTCGTCGTAAATTTGTTTTGCCTTGCTGGAGAGTTTTGAGGGCTTAGATGCCCTGTAGTCTTCACAAGCCAAGTAGAAGGCAATGTTTTCCTCACTGAACTCAGAGGCCAGGAACTCTCTGAACAGGCACAGTCCATCTGGAAAGAGGAGAAGAGCCTGGGTTAAGGTCTGTTAGTCATCTTAAAACATCTGAAATGATGGAAACTTTTGCATACAGTGTGAGCTGAAGGTTTATACTTACTTTGGCTGGACAACAGTTTCCCAAATGACTCCTTCCATTTCTGAGGGTCATTGACAGTTAACCTGCAGCACCAAGCAAACATAGTTAGAAAACACTCTAAAAATCACCATGGTCTGCTATGATTTTACTGACATGCCTACTGAGAGAATCTGAATGTGTGGTTCACCTCAGTTTGTCGCTTTTCTTTGACTTGCCAGTGATACTGTGATCTGTCTTCTGTAGTAAACTTCCAAACAAGTCTTTCAGCTCCTTTGCCCTGCAAAAACAAAGCAAGAGAAAAGGTTACAAAAATTACTGGGCACTAATACAAAGTCAGTAAAGTTAATCAGAAAACAGAAAACCTTCTGGATCGCACCTCTCCAGGCAGGCGACGGGCAGTGATTCAAGTCCTCCGCACATGATGAGATGTTTTCCTGCTCACAGGTAGATAGTTGTAGAGTATGTTACAGCGCTGTCTTCCTTCTTGTGAGTGAGTGAGTTAGCTGTCAGCTCGTCTGCTATTTGTGTGGGAGAAGGGACTTTTTATAGCATAGTCCACACTGTGACATCACGGCCCTCAGCCAATGAAAGGAGACATGTAGGGGGAGGAGGAGATGCCTCGACACTAATTTCCATCTAAACTACTTCTTCTTCCTACTGAAGAACATTACAGAACGTTACAGAATTAATTCACAACTCTTAAATGTCTTTATGCTGCAGGGTGTGTGTGATGTTGAGGGGTGCTTGCCCGTGTTATTATACTTAAATAGACATGAGGTGGAGAACCAGACATTCTCACAGGGACAGAAAATCCCCTAACATGAGGACAGGCCTTTAACCGAAATTATGTTTAGTCTCATGACTTGGGTCAACGAGCTCTCATGTCAAAATGATTAAAGAAGTCTGTGCGTGAATTCCAAAATGACCCAAATGAATCATTTGGCTGAAGTGGACCATCATCAGCTCCATTACATAAGTGAAAATACTGATAACACAAGCTAAAATACCCCTGTGCTATTCAGTGGAAATCACGTAGCTCATCAACCTAGACAAACAGATTTGGGACAATGCAATTTTTCAGATCATTTAGCTTAAGAAGTAGAACAACATTCTCAACCCATGAAATATCACTTAATTATTTTGTGAAGAGTTTGGAGATACATACATGGTGTTATTATTTTTATTTTGATTGATGTAATAACATGTACACAACAGAGTCATTTACTTTGTATACTTGTTAGGTAGTTTACCCTGAAAAAAACTAAATAAAGCAGAAGGAAATTATCACACTCTAATACAAAATATAACACAAATCATTCAGTAGGTTTCTTCTCACAGCTCTCACTACATAAAAACTACTAAACAAATATTCTGTGGGCCCAAAAGTCCCATTTGATTTATTTATTTAAATGTAATTTAATGGATGTATTTATTCTTTTTAACCTCGCTAGGGTTTTCCTTAGTGGAGAGAATGATTTAATGGAACTTCTTATATTGTATGTGTTGTAAAGGAAGACCTTGCACAGTCTCTGTCTGGGCAGTCATTTCTGTCTCCTGTCTGTCTCGTTCTGACCAGATAGCAGTGTGCATATGTAGCATCAGGATGGAGAAACCCATTATGTATTGAATCAGAAAAAAATCTAAATTTGCACTGGACTGAGAGCCAATAATGGGCTAATGGTGAACTCTGTTATTAGGTCATTTTCTCAGTGATTTTACAGGAAATTGCACAGGAAAGCCTAAGTCAGGCAGCCGGATGAAAAGGTAGCAAGCTCATTGAAAGTGTGTTAGCAGACTTCCTCCATCAGCAGCCTGAACAATACCTCCCTTTCAACCGCCTGCTTTATCTGACTCAACTCTGGGTGTCAATGGCAGGTCACTTCAGTAATGAGCTGCTCCCCTGCTTCTTTAACTATAATACATATACAAGCTTTGCAAGAGAAAGAACATCCTAAGAAAATCCTCAACTGCGGCATCCACCAAAAAAGGAACTGCAGCTTTTTGGTACTTTAGGGAAGAGGCTTTAGTTTGACTCCAAGTAGAAAGGTGACACTTCAGATGGTTTTAGTTCTTCATGCAATATCCAGCACTGTAAAACTACAAAAACACAAAGACTAAACTATTTTTTCAGGAGAATTTTTGAGCTTGGATGCTAAGATAGAGGACATAGGGTATTTTACATAAAATCAAAACAGAGACTTCAGACGAGGTATTGTAATACATCACACAGTGAGTTTATGAGAGGATCTTTGTATATGTCCAGATATGTTCAAATAGAGCTAAAAAGAATGAACACACACACACACACACACACACACACACACACACACACACACACACACACACACAGCTGTAGATTTAACATTGTGCTTTACAAAACAGCAGAAAACTGTGCTGAAAGACAAACTTCAGGCACTCTGCAGTCAGCCAGGGGTCTGTTATCACAGTGTTGTTCAGGCCATCGTGGCTCAAACATGTTGCATTCCTGAGCCAGCCTTCTGTGCTGAAAGCTACTTGACATATTGTAAACATGTTTTCAGTTGCTGTTTTTCATCACAGGTCTTATACAGTACAAAACAGGAGCTGGGTGGGTTTCTTGCAAAGAAAACATGTTATTCTCATTCATCTCACAGTCATGTTGTTTCCATTTAGAAATACAGTGTTTCATTATTGCAGATATTGGACAACACTGTGAGGAAACACTTAGTTTTCACAATGCAATATATGGATATTTCCATTTAATACACTATACCATTGAATCCAAAACCACTGTCTTAGTTAACATTTGCTGCTTTATCCTTCACATCTTATTTAACTTGAATTGCTTACTGCCATCATTTTTATTAAACCTTACCTACTAACCCTGAACATGTCTATTATTCTCCTTTAAGTAATCATATAATTTATGTTATACCATATCACCAGAAGCTCTGTGTTATCTAACAGCACAATAGGATCCTGATGTCTACTCCCCCCTTATTGTGCCAGTGACACAAATACACTCCCTGCCCAACTGACTTTGTAATATGTGTGTTTTATGGGTGTTTTGTGTATTATCATCATTAGTTTGGTTGCTATCTGGGTTAGCTAAGAAAGGCATGAGTAAGAAAGACACAAAGGCATCGTCACATAAATAAATATTCTTTGGCTCAGAGAAAACAGCACAGAGAAGTCATATGAGCCCACAGTGTGATGATGCTGTTCAACACTATTAACATAATTTAGGTCATAAACAGTTACATAAACTCTTACAGTCAGCAACTTTGACCCAGAAATGTCTAATTTTGCTTTACAAAGAAAATGCATAATAAAATACAGCATGACTTGTCTCATTTTGCAAAGGTTTTTTTGGCCTCTAACAAATGAAGATGTAGTCTATAATAAGGAATTTGGTCAGTAGGGCTCCAGACTGCGAGCGATCACGACCAAACTCATTTAAAGTGTGGATGACTTGTTTCTGACTACACATGAATGACTGTCCTAATGTCACTGTAGAAATTCTGGACGTTTCTGAACCAAAAAAAACAATCTCTGTGATACTGTCATCAGATTGTATAAGGGTCTGTTTCTTGTCTCACACAGCAGGCTTCCAATCTTTCAAATGTGTCAAGCCAACTTTGAGACACAGGTGTCCTCCCCAGATCCCCTCTTATGATTCGAGTCTATTTTTCCTTTGGCGCAAAATCTCCACAGACAGCTGCTTAAATCGTGCAGATCACCTTTTGTTTATGTGTTCCATACTTTTTACTTGAATCTGTTCTGACTGATCACTGTGAAGTGTCTGGTTTCACTTTCCCCCCGCCCTTTGTGTCGAGATGAGGAAATCAATAGGCTAAAATTAATTACTTTGTATATAACAACAGTAGGTTTGCTGTTGTTCAGTCTGGTGAAGTCCAGTTGCTGTCCTCCTGCTGACAGACAGCTGTTCTGATGACCAACTCTCACTCATACATTGAAAGTCAACCTATGTCTAGTGTGAAATCCCAGTTTGATATTGCCCAACTATTGCGTTTAGGTGTAATGGCATTATGGGGAATGCCTTGGCAGAGGTTTGCATTCTCTGAGTGCTGTCTAGTTTAACAAAGATATGCATCGTATAGCTACTTAACTTGCATTAAAAATATATAAAATATAGCCTCTTACTGAACACTATCACTGTACAGCCTATGTTCAGTATATACTGTATTACAGTTGCAGGTTAAGGCTTTTTGTTTTGCTTGTTTTTGTTAATGGACGTTTTTCCATTTACTGTATTTTGTTTCTTACCTACAGTACCTCATTTGTTTTTGTGTTTTTGACTTGGCTATTGTAAGACCAGACTTTCCCTGTGGTGTAGGTACTCTATCCAACTGTCTATAGCTAGTTTAATTTTGTGCAATGGTATGTGAGAATTGAGTAGTGAAAGTAAGTGAAGTACAGTCATATTCTAAGTAAAATCTTATACCAGATGAACTGTCTTGACTATGACCAGAGATTTATTTTGTATTTGTTGCTGAACCTCAGTACAATTTCCACTCTTAAGTGCAAGCTCCATTAGCAGGGATGCACTTTGAAGCCTCAGCACAAGGCAGACTATATTTAACACTTTTTACTTCACTGACCTTTGTGCAGGAAAACATCAGCAGAGAAATTTCAGAGACAAATTTAGCTCCATCATTAGGAGTTTCTCATACTCATCTGGATTACACGTCACAATTATCTTTATTCACTCAGTTTAAAACTACACAATCTTGTAAAATTGAGTTATTCAGAACAGATTGTATTAATCCTTTTATTTTCTTGAAGGACCCGTCTATCGAATTTATTATAAGTTGTATGGTTCTTGTTCATTTTAAAATTGTACAGTTGTTTTAAAAAAAACATTTAAGTCATTTATTTTGACCCTCTGACTCCACTTCCTGCCTCTCTATAGCTGTGATGATTTTCATTTACTGAGACCCTGGTTTCTGGAAGTGTCTTTCACATACAGGAAGTACACAGCAACATGGACTTCCCACATAGCCCATCAATTTCCCAGCTGGTGTGACCCCAGCCTTTCTCTGGAAGAATGACAAAAACATGACTGTATCCTCCTTTTCAGCACTTCTCCTCCTCCCCTCTCTGCCTCTACTGAGGCTCATCTGTTTAGATTTTATTTTTTGAGCTTGAGGGCAGCATCATTCAGTCAAAATAATGAACAGCACAAACATTTATTGACTTATTTCTAGCTTTAGACAGCATCACTTTTGCATTGTGCAGTATTCAGGCTGCAGATACAGTTTGAGTGGCACCATCTGGCAGTGGACAGAGAATCCATGATCTGCATATTAACTATTAGCTACCTATCTGACAGAGCAGGTGGAGGCTTGCCTAATGTATCACAACTAAGCAGCCTTGCCAATGACCACCAGTGATGCACATGATCCTATCTATGTCCCATCAAATGTCATCTGGCTACTGAACATCTGGAGATGCAACAACAAGGCTGTCAAATCAATGTTAACTAGCCTCAACTCCAGTGGAA